GCCTCCACTCTTAATGGCAGGTGAGCTGAGGGGCTTTGACTGCTGTGATTAAGTCTCATGGGGGGGGAGTGGGGGGGCTCCTTCTGTGGCTCTGATGGCTTTTCTCAAGAGCACCAGCCAGGCAGAGGGGAAGCAAAAGGACAAGAAGCAAGATACAGGTGAAACTCAGAAAATTAGAATATCATGGAAAAATTCATTTATTTCAGTAATTCAACTTAAAAGGTGAAACTAATATATGAGATAGACTCATGACATGCAAAGCGAGATATGTCAAGCCTTTATTTGTTATAATTGTGATGATTATGGGGTACAGCTGATAAAAACCCCAAATTAACAATCTCAGAAAATTAGAATATTGTGAAAAGGTGCAGTAGCTATTCAATCCATAACATCTGCAATGGGTTCAGTAGGAAGCACAGTCATGGGGAAGGCTGCTGACCTGACGGTTGTGCAGAAACCCTCATTGAGACCCTCCAAAAGGAGGGAAAGCCTCAAACGGTAATTGCAGAATAAGTTGGATGTTCCCAAAGTGTTGTAGACTTGAGTGGCCACACTTGGCTCCTTGGGGTGCAGAGATTCATTGGGGCTACCAAGGAGTCTGGGTTCGGTGATCTGCAAGTCCTCCTGTATTTTTATCTTGTGAGCTGCCCTGAGACCTTTGGATGAAGGGCAGCACATAAAATTATTATTATTATTATTATTATTATTATTATTATTATTATTACCACAAAATAATAATAATAATAATAATAATAATAATAATAATAACCACCCCACCCATCTCTGTTTAAAATTTAAAACATAAGTAAACTTTGAAGCGTAACCTCAGACAGCATGGCCTACACTGCAGGGTTGTTGGTAGAGAGAGAAAGGCGAGAAGAGCCTGCTGTTTGGGGCCAAAGGGGGCCCGTCCAGTCCAGGGCCCTGTTCTCCCAGTGGCCACCCAGAGGCTCCGCTGGGAATCCCACAGGACTCTTCTCAGCGGCGATTCCCCCAAACTGGCAGCCAGAGGCAGGCTGCGGAGACCACGGGGACTGGCAGCCATTGGCTGAAGGATGGAGGAGGAGGCTTGTCCCACCCACCGCAAACCTTTGGGGAACAAGAACGCAAGAGCCTAAGGAGATGCCTGCTCCTGGATCAGGCCAGGAAAGCATCTAGTCCAGCCTCCCAGATGCCTCTTTTCAGGAACCTGGGAGCAGAATTCGCACCCAAGAGCAGCCCTGTCCCTTTCTGAGGCTTCTAGCAACTGGCATTCAGAAGCACGTCTGCCTCTGACAGCAGAGACAGGGATGAGCCATCCCTGGCTGGTAGCCATCAATAGTCCTCTTCTCCTTGGTGGCCTCCTGTGGCAGGGAGTTCCACGGTTTAAGCCAATGGCAGCCCTCACTCCAGCCCCAGAGAGAATCCAGGCACCCTGGCACCCATGCCCACCCCATGCACCTCCCCCCACACATGCCCCCTTGCTCCTCTCTTGGCTGCAGATCCAGAGACCTGTCCCAGCCGCCTTCCTGCCCCATCGATTCCTCTGCCGACGCAGAGCTCTCCCTGCTGAAGATTTAACCCGGCACATGTTTAAACCCGTCAGCCGCGGCCCTGAGTTATGCGCTCGCCCTTAATCTCGCCCGCAATCCATTATGTTTTATGGGTCCTCCTGGTGCAGAGGGAGGGAGGGAGAGAGGGAGCCTCCCCAGGAACAAGCAGCTTCCTTGGGGGGGGGGGAATGAGTGAGCTGGCTTGATCAGGTCCAAAGTGACCCTCTAGCCCAGCCTCCTGTTCTCACATTCTGGGAAAACCACAAGCAGGATCCGAGCGCAAGAGCAACACTCCCAGCCACTGGGGTTCAGAAGCCCTGACTGCCTCAGTGGCCAGGAGCCATGGAGAGCTCTCTGCTCCTCCCTGAATTTGCCCAGTTGTCTGTCAGATCCATCAGAGAGGATGGCCAGCCCTGCCTCCATTCATCAGACACGTTAAAGGAGCCTAATTGGCAGCCAGGCCCTTCGTGTGGATCCCTATGGAAAGACACTGTTGGATAATGTACTAAGGAAGGACAATGGTCTGGAGTCATGATGCTCTCGCTCCCTCCTCTCTCCTATGCTTTTCCTTTCTTGCTTGATTCACAGGTTGGAGTCATGGATGCTTGAGCCGAGATTCCTGCATTGCAGGGGGTTGGACTAAATGACCCTCAGGGTCCCTGAATCCTTCTTCTTTGACGATCCCTCATTGTCTTCCATAAACACAGTTTTAACAGTGAGTCCTTAAGTGACTGTGGAGGCAAATTCTGGATCCACACGTCCTTCCACAGTGGGGACATTGGTTTCCAGGTGGGAGTTGATCATGGTGTGGATTTGCCAAGCGCACCTTCCTCTTAGCACCTTTCTCCCTTGCGTCCTGAGTTCAAGTATCTTCAAAGCCCAGGACACCTTTGGGAAAGGCTGTTCTCCAACTGGAGCGCTCGCAGGCCAGTGTTTCCCAATTGTTGGTGTTTATACTACATTTTTAAAGATTTGCCTTGAGAGACTTTAAACCTCTTTTGTTGACCACCAGCATTACGCTTTCCATTTTTAAGTTCGGAATAGAGTACAGTGGACGCTCGGGTTGCGAATGTGATCCGTGCAGGAGGCACATTTGCAACCATCAGCGTTCGCAACCCGCAGTGCCGTGTCTGTGCACGCGCGAGTTGCAATTTAGCACTTCTGTGCATGCGCAAAGCGCGATTTAGTGTCTTTCCGCATGCATGAGCGCCGAAACCTGGAATTAACCCATTCCGGGTTCGGTGCGGTGTGAAAATGTGCAACCTGAAGCATCTGTAACCCGAGGTATGACTGTAGTTGCTTTGGAAGACGATCATCAGGCATCGCACGACATGACCAGTCCAACGAAATTGATGTTGAAGAATCATTACTTCAACACTAGTGATCTTTGCTTCTTCCAGTACACTGATATTAGTTCTCCTGTCTTCCCAAGTGATGTGTAGAATTTTTTGGGAGACACCTCCCTGAATCCACAGCACTCCTCCAGGGCCAATTTCGTAGCTCACCTTTGAGCCCCTGATGCTCAAAGTTTGGAGAGACATTGGGGGGGGGGGTTGGTTTGCTTTAGCAGTGCAGCAGCAGCGCCACCTCCAGGACCAAAGTGGATTTGCAGTGCATGTCGGCAATGGAGAAATTCAGCAAAAGTTGCCAGCCACCGAAAATATTTCCTGGTGGGGCTCTGGAAGAAACGCTGAAACGGACGCAGTTTCTTTCCGCTGAACGGGTCAGTGGGGCGGGGAGCGCACTGAAATCGGGCACACCGAGCCGCTCAAGGGGGGGCTCCTTCCCTGCACGCAAGATCACATTCTGACATGCTCTGCTCCGACCAACATCCCACCCTCCCTTGAGGAACGGCTTCAGTTGAGGCAAAGGCCCCAGAGAAACTCAAAGAAAGGCCATTTCAAAAGGTGTGGAACTCCCTCCCGCTAGAGGCAGTGTTGCAGGAATTGATGTATAGGTTGGGGGGGGGGTTGCCCCTCCAGCAGATATCACGCACATGCAGCCCACTACCAAAACAGCACAATCACTTTTGTGACTTTTGTGATTTGTCCCCACAAAACACTTCATCACAGTTTCTTCCTATCCATTCAAAGGGCCTTTGCTGCACAATACCAAATGTAAGAATTCACTGATAAATATATGTACTGGCTCACTGGGAAAACTTCAGAAATTCCTATAGACATGTGAGCTCAGCTCCTCAGCAGCCCCTCTGCCTGAGTGATAATCCCTGGCATCCTGGTACCTGAGTGCCAGACAGGTAGCCATTCCAGGAATGACAAACCCAGATGATTAACTTGGCTGGGAAAGAGGGAAATGTAAATATCTCTTTTGTTCCACTTGATGGGTGTTTGGGGGAGGGCAAGGGGAACCATGGGGCAGGGTCCAGGATGCTCAGATTCTGGCCACCAGACCTCCCCTTTCATGATGTAACCGTGATGTATGAGTGATGTAGTTTGTGGGGTGTAACGTGGGGATTAGCAGCTAATAAAAGTTTGGGGGCTCTTTTGTTCTGGGCTTCCATCTTGTTCCACCTGGTGGCAGGTGGGAGTCCTGTGGCGACAGTCTTCAATACAGACCAAGCCGACTGGCTGCTGTTTTGCTCTGGTAATTCCTGGCTGGTGTCCTTGTTTTTTGTCCAAGGGAGCCCTCAGATTTCTCCGTTAGGTGGCTTTGGAAGAGGACTGTCGAAATCCATGCAGGAGGGGATTCATGCTATGGGGGGCTATCGGCCATGCTGGCTCAGCTCTGCCCTCCGCAGGGGAGACGCAGCAATGCTTCTGAATGCCAGGAGGGGAGAGAGTATCTCTTGCTGGTTTCCCACAGGCAACTCTTCAGCCGCTGTGAGAACAGGATGCTGGGCTAGATGGTGTTACGGAATTTATGTAGACATCACACACACACCCCAAAATCAACACAATCACTCCTGCAAATGTCCCCACAAAATACTTCATCATACAGTTCCCCCCAATCTCTATTCAAAGGGCCTCTGCTGCACATTACCCAATGCAACAATTCACTGATAAGTTTATCTCTGTACTGGCTCACTGGGCAAACTTTAGAAAGTCATATAAAATTGCTCCAGTATCGGATTTGCGCCGTTCCAACTTTGTTCTGTTCAGGGAAGGAATGTCTCCCAAGGGGGGAGCCTGGGATGTGGGCAGCCATAATCCCCCAAGCCTGAGACCAGGTACTCAGCAGTGCCAGACAGGCAGCCATCCCACAGACAATGGCAGAGCCTCCAGGATGGATTAGGTCCTCGGTCAGGACA